TCATGTATTTTCTCTAACAGGGAAATCTTGGCACGTTTATCATTACAAATGTACGTCTAGTCTGGTTTGCAAACATGAATGAACTCTTCAACATATCTCTGCCATATCTACAGATAGCCTCTGTAAGTTACATGATGCTCCTAATCTACGTGTTCGTGTAGCACCTTGATTAATTTGAATTTAGCTGAAATTATATGGATAAGGAAGAGAGACTCTGCTTGGGGAAAGAAATATTATGTGCTGTAGAATATAGGGGCATGGAAGTCTTACATTCATTTTAATATCTTGATATAGGTAAAAGTCCGTGAATCCAAGTTTGGCATGGCACTGGTGGTTGAAAGCACAGAAGCCAGTGGAGGTTATGTGCTTGGCTTCAGAATCGACCCTGTTGAAAAACTTCATGAAGTACACAAGGAGTTATCGTCACTGTACAATGTGTATTCACAATGTCCAGTCTTCGGCATAGAGTTTGTTCTTCATGATAAGGTAAGGAAACTATTTCCATTTTAGACTCATTTTTGTTATTATTATTATCATTATTATTTAAACTTACTAAATAATCTTGCAAAAATTGACCCCTTATGGATGTACTCCATCAGTTCTTGCATTGTATTATTGTCTTTACATTAGTTATTTGAGCTTCATGTATTTCCTCATGTATGTGGACGTAGAAGCATTAATCCAACTTGCTCTTTTAAGGCTTTACGTAGGCTGATACACAGAGAGTTGCACCTCAAGTAATGTGCCCGCTTACCAGAGAAAAAACGGGATGCTAACTATTGTCATCATTGTTATTGTTATTATAATAAAGATGATAACAATGATGAAGATGATAAAAATGAAAGATAGTAGTAGTAATAGCAATGATTGTATTAATGGTTATGATCAATATTATTACTATTACTATCAGTTATTTGATTACTGGTTACCGCTGTAAATCTATAGGACGGATGCTCCATTTGTAATGGTGAAGGAGTTCTTAGTTTTACTTTATCTATTTCTGTTTTGCTGATTGTAGCTGTTGAATAAGATATGTTACCAGAGTTGTTATTAGACTTTTGAGACAGTCTGAGACTCCTCTGCATAAACAAACAAAAAAAAAAGAATTTCAAGAAATATGGAACTTATTACAGACACTGATTACAATAATCACCAAACCAGGTTTTTAGTTTGGGGCTTCTGTTTCTTTGACTCATGTTAGTGAAGGTCCTTCTAATGATAATATTCTCTGTTGTCCATGAGGGGTTGATCATGCATTGTGTATTGTTACCAATTGAAATATCTTCATTTCTCCCTTTCACTGATGAAATAGATGTTTGCAACCAGTTTGTGATTGTGTTCATAGAAAATCAAGACAGTTCAACTACACTCTATGCCAGTTGGAATGATAGACTTTCACACATGAGTCTATTTTGCAGGACTCTCTTGCTTTGAACTCAATCCCCCGGGCATTTTTACTGGTCGATGCTGACCAGGTAGGCAACACCTCCTCCAGGAATGTTCGTAGCAATTGGTGTTGGTGTCAGAGCCTCGTAGGAGAGTCTTACATAGTCAATATGGAAGTTGTTATTCTCTTTTACTTCAATTTTTTTATATGGACATGTAATTACAGTTTTATCAAAGATTGAAAAAAAAGGATTTTAATGTGAAAGACCTGTCTTCCTGAATAGTGCTGTTTTACACCTGTGTAAATTCCACTGTACAGTTGTATTCGTCAGTATAAAGTACAGTATTGCGCTCATCTGAAAATGTACTAACCGGTGTATTACAACACTGGGAGCACCGTATGTTGAAGAAATAGTGAATAACATGGCTGCATTGCTCTTTGCATAGTTTTGTGAAAGTGATGGTAAAAGGGAGAGTTTTTTCAGAATTTAGAGTGAGATATAAGATGTTTGTTATACTAAAAAAAAAGTTATATACCTAAATACTTGTAAAGGGAGGGATCATATGCTGAAAGATTCAGTAATGCGTGTGTGTAGAATGAAGAAGCAAAGATACTTTGTAACAAAATTGATCATGTCAAAGAAATTGCAAATTATGATTACTGTGGTTCCACTTTTGAATGAACTCTCCCAATTTTTCTTTCTTTCTTTTTTTTCTTTACTGCCAATTGTCGCCTTCATAATGCTAGTGCTTTGCATTTTGCTTTATATTAACACACTTGTCCTGGCAACTAAAAGGGTAAGATTAATCATTTTAAGTGATACCAGAAATTAGCCGTAAAAAATGGACATTCACCTAGCAATAGAATATTAATGTAAAACTGTTAAAAGTCTTGTTTGTGTTTGTAGGAAATTTTTCATTTATACATTTTTTATTTGTTGTAGACAGTATTTCCAGTTGAGAAGAAGCACAGGATATCCCCTGGTTGTATCAGTAATCATTTTTGATTGTCACCTTCATGATGTGATTTTATTTTAGATTTTCATGTGTAAAGAGAAGTATCTTAGAATAGTATCAGAGAGGTGGTGTGTCGAGCCTTCATTGATAGTATACTGTGATGGCTAACCTTTGAATAGTTTTTTTTTTTATCTGTTAGGATTGTATTCAGTTGATACTTTACATGTATTTAGTATACTCAGCTTAATTTCTCTTTTACATAGAAGTAAAATTCAGTGATATTTTGTAGGTACATTACTGTGATTAGCTTTAAGAACTTTTCTTTAGATTAAGTAGGAAGAGACAAGCATTTGTAAAGTCATTTAGTAATGTTAGCTGATAAAGAATCATTCCAACAGTGCTGCCAATGACAAGTAGATCAGAATTTCTATATTGTATTGCATTGTTGCTAAAACAGAGCATTTACTTATATAACTTGGGCCACACCAATTTTATTTGTTGCTTCTCGGATTTTTCCAGAAAAAAAATGGAGCAATGGGGCAAAAAAAAGGTTCCAGGTGAAGATATAGGGCTTACAGAACATAAGGAAAAACAAAATTATTAAAGTTTTTAGTTTTTCATACCACGTTTTATATAATGAATCCTGTCCTTTGATCTAGTAATACAATTCCGAATAAAGAACATTGTTTTTAACAAAATTTACATGTGTTGCATTTGCTACTATTATTGTATAATTTTTGTTTTGTATAATGTCAATTCAAAGTTTAATAAGCCAGTAACATTATAAAAACAAACAATCCATATCCAAAAAACAAAAACCTGTACAACATAATTTACTGTCAGGTCCCTTTCCACTGGCATTTTGTTGTCTTCTTTGGCATGCAAACTTTTAGCTTTACAGAGAAGACATCGATCTGCATACATACTGTATAAACTACTCTACAACTAAACTCTAAACTAAACTAAACTTATAGTTTAAAACTTCAAGTTTAATTAGGTCTGGAGTTTAGAGTGGCGCACACCAGCTCACAACAAAACCTTAGCGCCCTGTGCATTACTATTGAGATTGAGTTATTGAGGTATCATATTTTGAAAGACAAGATGCTTCCTAATTGGTTGTCCTCTAGCATGTGACTACAAAGTTCTCTGAATGGTTTCCGGCTGCATGTGCCTTTGATAGAGTCTATATTTACAGGTTTGCAAAAGCAAAACCTATGGTGGTTTCTTGTCTGTCCTTATTTTTTATTTATTTATTTTTTTGAATGCAAAAAATTAAAGTAGTGAATCCAAGAAGCAACAACAAATAAAATTGATGTGGCCTTAGAGTTGAATATCTTGTTTTACTGGTATTATGTTAGCCTTTTAAATGTTGTTTATAGATAATTACTTTCATAAGAAATTTGGCAGGCAAAGGAAGGAAAGGGTACAAGTTGAACTGAAAGAAAATACTGTAAGATCCTCTTCAAACTTTCCATTTTTTTATTAATTATTTGTCTTGGCATGAGATACCAAATAGTAACAGAGAAACTAGAGATGTTTATATGATGTTAAGATAACTCTGCTATGTGCATGAATCTTAAACATTGGATAATTTAACAACCTATACATACCATGAAATGGAAATTCTCTCACATTTTTTACTTCCTTCCCTTCTACTTATGACTAATTGCAAAGCATGGCAACTAATCTTGCTTTAAATTTTCCTCTAGGATTGCAAGAAAAATGTTTTAAGAAGTGCACTTAGAGGTCTGCTACATTGTAAGAGACTGTTCATCAACAATAATTTTCAAATACTTAGTGACGATTTTTTACGATCTTAGAACAGGCATTTGTAGAAAAAGGAAGACACTTGGTTTAATGAGTAATGGAAATTCCATAGGGGGCTTATCTCAATTAACCAAAAATTTCTCTTGTGCATTTTGAGTGATCCTCTCCCATCCTTTTAGAATTTACACACATTTGTTACTTTTTATTGATGAACTTATATCATATACATATCTACACCTTTGCCTACAGATAAGAGATAATGAGAAAAGAACACTGATTCACTAGTAATAATTCCACATTTCTAGCCGGCAGGAGAGGAGGAGACATTGGATTTGCCAGAAATGGAGGAAGCGGAGATTGATGAATCCATCAATGATTCTGCTGATGTCCTGGCAGCTTACCTCGCTGATGGACGGCACAGTGACCGGGAGACTGTTTTCTCAAATGAGTTAGGACTTGCCATTGAGAAATTAAAAGATGGATATACTTTGCAAACACTGTGGGAGGTCATACCTAGCTAATTTGCTATTTTCATTATCATATTTTGTTTTGCTGTCATGTACATGCAAGCTAAAATACGAGATTAATGAATGTGATATGATAATTTTTGACAAAGATATTGTAAGTCATGATGTGGTTTAAAATAGCTCATAACATAAAATACGATTGTATAAGATGTAAAATCAGTACAATTTATCTATTAACTTTAGATAAATGTTATATATTTTACGTGCCTTTACTCAGAGAAATTTAAAATGTATTATAATGAAAAAATTGTATATGAAAAATGTGTCACCACAATAAGAGTTTAATATCACTTTTAAAATGCAAAGCAAATAATAAAGCCAACCAAAATATATGGAGAGTCATTGTAAAAAAAAATCACAACCAGTCAATTTTAAGCTCTCATATTATAAAATATGCTAAAAATCTATTTTACAAAATGGAAAAGTCTTTGGATTCAGGCTTTTATAATTAATTTGGGTATAAAAGCATCTACCGACACTTGGCGGTATATATGCACATACTTTTGAAATATGTTTGGACAAATGTATAATTCTGAAAATCCACTGAGTATTAAAATAGATCGTAAATGCTGTTGGTTGAGTCCTGATGTTAGAATAGGTACTCCGTTTCATAACATGCAACCAGTGGCATCAACTTTCACTTGGTGTTGTCACTTGCATCTTGTGATTTGCAAATATTTAGTTCATGGCTAAGTAAATTGCCAGTATTTTACCACGCTCGTCTTAACAGAGATACATACTCACCTTCACAAAAATGGACAAATAAACAGATAGGATCCACTCGCTCTCCCTCTCTTCTCCCCCCCCCTTTCTATACTTACTACAACAGAAGCTGGATAAGTCTAACCAGATTCATAGATGAAGTTTTGGTTTTAATTCAGTCTGTAATGTTTCCTTTATTTGAATATACCTTCTCTTATCTGATATGATACCACATTAAATTTGCTCATTCTTTCTCACTTCATCTTCATCATCCACAAGACAATATTCTTCAAAAAAATATATAAAAAACAATAAAAAAAATAAAGCAGACCTGACAAAAACACAATATCACTTGATTCTGAATCAGACATAGCAGCATCAACCATTCACCTACTGTTGTCTGGGTTTCATGCATTTTTTTCAAAGTTGACGAAGGTACACATTAACTCAATGGTCTGAAGAATAAGTTATGGCAAAATAGAAATGGATTGGCTACCACCTTCAATTCTGCAGTTGATGCCTATCGGTTGTCACCCCTTGCTGTGATGATTTATTGGTTGATAATAGTGAAAGGCATTCTCATTTATTGCTTCAATTATCATTTGATATCATATTATTGTAAGATTTATTATCCAGATTGTACCAATATTCCTGTATAAATTATTGTATTGAAATAAAAAAGTACATGTATTTGCACGTTTCTCTACTGTTATCTTTGTGAATGAACATGTAAATGAAGAGCCACCTATAAGTTCACAATTTTGGTTAGTGTGAGTTGAATATACATTTTATTGAATCAATTTCATCTTTGATTTTTGAGAATGATACTATTTGTATATCTAGATTGCTTTTGTTGTATAAAACATTTATTTTTCCTAGTTGGACCATGGTAATGTATAAAGATCTGCACAGTTATGGTGAAACAGATCTCTTTAATGATTGAAAATCTATGCTGTTTATACAAAATTTAATTATTTGTATGCACTTATTTTACTCATTAAACAAATTTATTATTGTTTGGAAGTGGAATAGAAAATAGTATAACCAATACTTATGTGACTACTTTTAGGAAAACAGTAGCAGTCATGAAAACTAATTTGATTAGTATTTTTGGAATTTTCTCTTCTGTCTGTATGTGTAAAGGATCATGCTTATGGTCATAATGGTACAAATACCAGATTATTAGTTCATTCAACATTTCATTTAAAATGCAGAGTATGGAGAGTATGATGAAAGAACTATTTTAGAACACACAACTGAGAGACAACAATAGTTTTGCCCTTTGGAAGGGCTGGTTCATTACTCCAGGACCACTCTACCTATAGCTTAAGGTCAGTAATTTCAATCATTTGCTCTTTAAGGTGACTGAGGTGCCATCACCTTATTCATCACTTATTCCATATATCACTTATATATATATATATATATATATATATATATTATATATATATATATATATATATATATTATATATATATATATATATATATATATATATATATATATATATATATATATATATATATATATATATATATATATCACATATCACTTATGCCATCACATATTCATATAATGAATGTTCAATGTTTAATGTTTGAAAGATTACAATAAAATGTGTTAGTTGTCAAAGGTTTGAGAGCATTATAGGATAGTATGGTAGTGAAAAGGGAAATAGGAGAGCAAGTGAACTAGAGCAGAAATTAGTATAAAGGGGAGGGTTAAGCAGGAAGAGCAATTGAGTGAATTATACTGGGGAAGGGATAGGAAAAATGTTCAAAGAAGAATAAAGATAGCTGTTGAAAGAGTAGGAGAGGAAACCAGGGAGAGGGGAAGGCTTTGGATGTCATAAGATTAGAGGGTGTAAAAGGAAAGTATGATAATGAAAAGGGAAAGGAGGGAAGGGAATGAAGTAGAGCAGTGATTAGTAAATGGAAAAGGTTTAGGAGGTAGAGCGAGTAAATGAATTGCACTGTATCTATGACTGGGGAAGGCATAGCAATAATAGGTGATAACAGTAGATATAGTGGTCTTTGTAGTAGGTGATTCGGTATCTCTGGGTTGAGATAAAGGATCAGGAGTAGGTGAAGGGTAGTGTTCGGGGTTCGATAGGGAAGGTGGGGTCTGGGGAAGGGTATTGTGATAAAAGTGATTCACATGTGTATCCAGGAGGAGTGGGGGATAGGAGGGATAGGGGGATTTTTTTTTTTTTTTTTTTGGGGGGGGGGGTATGGGTGGTTGAAAGGATGAGGTATTTTGGGAAGGGGTAGGGGGAATATAAGGGGATAGATTTACTAAGTGAATTGCAGTGTATATATGACTGTTGGAGAAGTAGGAGGAGAAGAATCCAGGGGAGGAGAAAGGGGGACTGGGAAGTCAGTGAAGTATCAGGAATGGTTAATGGTTAAAAAGCAAAATAGATGTGCTAGCCATCTAAGGTCATACAGCACTATAGGAAAGTATATTAAAAGAGGGGTGATTGGTGATAGTTGCTATGCATCAGCTATCTAGAATAATATTGAAAGGTTAAAGATGGGAAAGGGAGTTGCTGTGTGAATGGGCTATGGTGGATCTAGGTAAGGGAATTACATAAGGGTTTCACATGTGTATCCAGGAGGGAGTGGAAATGATATAGGGGATGCAAGGAGGGAGGATGTACGTGTAGTTGGAGTTGTGGGGGCTGGGTTGTGTTGGGAGGGAGTAGGAGGAAATGGTGTAGGGGTAATATGAGTAGGAGGATGGATATCAGCAGTAGTTGGAGTTGAGGGGGATGGGTTGTGTTGGGAGGGAGTAGGAGCGAGGGGTGTAGGGGGAATATGAGCAGGATGGGGAGGATGGATATTAGGCAGGCGGACTGAATATTGGCAGGCACTTTGAAAGTGGAGTGAGCATAAGTTGTGGAATTTTGTGTCTCAAGGATATTGCTTTAAATATCTTTGATTGTTAGTTTCTGCAGTGGAGTTGGTTGGAGAGTTTTGGGAGACAAAGTTTTTCCTATAAGGGAGGGAAGAAGACACTGGTGTATGAGGAATAAAGGCAAAAGTAGGTGAAGGTGTGTGCGATAGGGGAAGAAGGGGTGGAATGTTTAGTCTATCTGCTGCAGGTAGTACAGGGAGAGAGAGGGGATGGTGTTGGGGCTGTAGTTGATATTGGAGCTGCAGTTGAGATTGGAGTGTCTGGATTTAGAGTGTCAAAAGAATTTTATTGGGGGAGGTAGAATGTAGTAGAAGTGGAGAAGTAAGCAGGTATAGGGGAGGGTGTAGGAACATCTTGGGGTGGAGGGGAAGAGGCAGAGTGAGCAACATTACTAGAGTAGAGAGTATGAGAAAAACCTTGTCGGCCTGCTTCCTGTCTGTCTTCACGTTGAGTGAGACCATTTTTGTATCTGAGAGCTACTACCTCTAACTCAAACTTGTAAGTGGGACAGCCGATATAAAATACATTATGGGGGCCGCCACTGTTAACACATACTTGGCACATATGAGGCATCGGTCTGTGGAATGGCAGTGTTTGGCAGGATGTCCAAAGTGCCAGCAGTTTTGACATTGACAGGGAGGAGGTTGGTATGGTCGAACAGGGAGGGATTGTCCACCAATGTAGGTACGGATGGGAAGGTCATGTGTATGGAAAGTAATTTTGGCAATGTTGGTGGGTTTCTTTTGATAACCTCGAGGAGGAATGGAGTAGCAGTGTTCTGATATCAGATCACTGTCTTTGAGGCTGCCAAGTAAATATTCTCCACTATCTTACTAATCGATATCCATAGGGCAGCTTGCTGGGGAGATAGACACAGTTCCAGTACAAGAGTTGGATGAGGTTCTGCAGGAATTGGGTTGCCAGGGAGATCAGTTAGATTTGATAATGCTATAGCTTCAGTTTCAGATGTTACTGTTACAAGACGGGAATGATCGGGTTGGGTACAGAAAGGGATTCTGCCCACTTTTGGAGGCATTGTTGAAAGAGAAGATTGTTGCCTGAGTAAGGAGCTGTAGGGAGGATCACGAAAAATCCATCCCAGCTGGGCTAAATAGAGTAAGATATTTGTAGGGTTGGTGGTGGTAGAAGGACAGGGACGTTGAGGAAGTTGGGAGAGTAGGAATGTCTTCTGGAGATTGAGTCTCGACTGGGGTGGATAATGCACAAGTAGGCATTGATGAGGATAATGCACAAGTAAGCATTGATGAGGATAATGCACAAGTAGGCACTGATGAGTGGGTAGTAGTTTCAAGTGTTTAGAGTCGTGGTCAAAGACGAGTCTGGTGTCAGAGAGCCGTGAGAGTTTGAATTGATGGGGCTATTTGATGAAGGGGCAAGCCTCATTGCCTCTGATAGGGGTATTACATCATTACTGGCCATGGGAAGCCTTGACTATGTTGGGGAAATAAACAGTCCACCCCTCAGGGTCCCCTTGAGGGGTAAGGGCTAGAAAACAGGGATATACCGTGCCCATGGTTCCCTTAGGCCATTCAGGACTGGCACAAAGTCAGCCTTTCATCCTTTCAGCATGGCTCTTACACCTTAGGAAGTAGATAGTAGAAGGGGTTGGAGAAGGAACAGAAACAAAAAAGCAGGAGGGTGAAAAGGTCATGCACAATTGGTTGAATCGAGCACTGAGGCCCTAGGCAGGGGAGATCCCTGCATTGGGTCTCAGTCTCCGTCTCCTAAGCCCCACCACGAAACAACGGGCAAGGGATTGGAGGGGGAAGTATCAGAAAGAATGTCTGGAGGACACTGCTGTGATAGAGGGGATTCGTGTGAGTATTCAAGTGAAAGCGGTAGAGAGGGTAGGGTATGTTGGGAGGGTGTAGGAGTGGAGGGAACTTGAGGAGGAAGATGGATATCTGCAAATACTTCAAATGTAGGAAGAGGGAGTGGAGTGTTCCTTTGGGTCATCTTCAGGAAGTGTTGGATGTCTTCCAAGAGTTTCTGGAGGGGAGCTGGGTAAAGAGGACTGAGAAACAAAGGTTCTCTTATGAGGAGGAGAAGAGGAAATAGATATCTGAGGAACAGAAGAGGGAGGTGTAGGAGAGAAGGTAGTAGGAGAGTGTGGAGTGAAACGTTTAGGAACCTTTAGTGAAGGTAATGCTTAAAAGGTTGATAAGTAATGTATAAAAGGCATCTTCTCATTAACACTATCTATGGCTAGATCCTTTACTTGGATAGCTCCAATATGCATTAAATGACCATACGATATTTGTACATGATCCCTCTCCTCACAAAAGTATCATGACCTAAGAAGAATGATTTTTTTGAAACTATAATGATTTAAAGTAGTGGTAGTAAAGTCAATTCATAAGCGGACATATATAACCCTGCCTGCAGGGTGGCGCACACACATCCCATGGCTGTTGTGGACCAAGTAGCAGGGGTGATTGCACGATGAACATTCTTACACTGTCAGCTTTTTTTTTCTCTCTCTGATATTAGCAGCATAATTTCTATGGTGAATCTTTTAGGCAATAGCACTTGAAGTGAAGGTAAACCTTGACTTCATTAACCCATCCCCCCAAAAATATAAGCTTTTAGGTGCCTGATGGTGCTCACAAACTACCACATAAGGCAGGCACAATCGGAAACTGCCGATGGTGCACCAGCAACCTGCACAAGGATTTTACCTGTATCAACCACCCAAAAATATAAGCTTTTAGGTGCCTGATGGTGCTCACAAACTACCACATAAGGCAGGCACAAATCGGAAACTGCACCAGCAACCCTAAACAAATGGCTACTAGCCAATTTTTTTTACCCCATGTTAATGGATTGATACAGGTAAAATCCTTATTGCATCACCATGGTGAAATAGCATATTTCAGATTTTTTTCTTTCTTTTTTGATTGATTAAGATCCTACACCTTGGAAGGATCCATTAATTTTATAACTAAACCTAAAGGCCTGTCCACATTAACAGGCATGATTTGCAGGGACCTGTAAAGGTGACATCACAGGCATCAAAACAATGGGGAAACTACCTGTTTACTAAGGAGTATGCCTGCCTATGACATCATCTCTACACATGACCAACAGCTCAATGTACCCAACAGCTATACCCACTTGTGTGGACGGGCCTATTAGTGCCCTTTGAATATCAACCCAATGGATACTTCTGAAATTTTTTGTGATTTTTTTTTTTGCTTCTGGAAACCCTACTCAATAAAATTTACTATTTTTGAGCACAATAAGAAACTAAAGGTAGGCCTGATTTTATTTTGTTTATACAATGTTTCATATACAAGATATAATCCACATGAGAAGTTGTCATTTCTAACTAGTTCTAGTGTCCTTAAAATCAAGAAAGAGGTCAAGGATGTAGACCTCCAGCAGTGCTATTCTGGTTATACAGTTTAGTAAAAAATATAGCACTGGTATACTGTAATCCAAAAGAAAAGTCAATTTTTCACATATATCTTACAGTAATGGAATAATTCTGTGTTTTGCAAATGCTGTTTTCCTTAAAAATAAATTTGTTTGTCCACAAAACAGGACTGGCAGCAATATCCATGCGGCCAGACACAGAGCAGGCACTCGACCCAACATTTTACCAATTGTGTTCTTTGCATAAGATTTCCCTGTTGACCTACACTCCCTACGTACAAGGTGTGATAACTTAAGTTCATCTGGGAAGAATTGAACAAACATCTAAATAGTTAGAATATCGTTGTACATAAAAGAATCAATCAAATGCCAAGTTTGGGCTGAGAACTTTTTATGATCACAGGGGAACATATGAAGGTATCAGCACAAATGTAAACATTAAGACCTGTAAATAAATTGTCATATATGTACATTTCAATTCACGAGAGCATGTCAGAACAAACGTACACATCAATACCTGTGGATGTCAATTAAACAAGATAGAACACATGAAAAGATCTATAAACATGTCAGCACATATAAACACATCTAGCCAAGTGAGCATTTCAATACTGCTCTGGTCAAGATATTAATTCATCAGTCCGTGTAACAGATGTGATCATCATATTAGAGTATGTTCACAAAACATATAAAAGTCAGCACCTGCATGTATTCCAATAAATGAAGGCTTGTCAAAATGTGTGAACATAACATATGCCAACATGTGTACATTTCACTGCATGCAAATTGAATGAAAATACATTGTTAAAAAAGAAAGAAAAAAAAAAAGGAACTTGTTTACAGATATGGTTAAAAACAAATTAATATAAACCAATCAGGAAATTGCTTCTTGAAGGGTCTACAATAGCAAAACTTGGCAACAGCATCAGTAGTTTAAAATCATATTTATGTACAAATTACTTCCCGTATCTACAAATTAACTTCAGAGCCTTAATTTGACAATGCCTAATCTAAATGCCATTTACTCAAGGTTTAAAGAAATACAGGCATTTTCAAAATTTCAAAATAGACCTGTATCACAAGAAAGCACACAGTTAAATATTGTATACTTTAAAGAAAATAAGATAAAGAATAGCTGGAAAAATACATAATGGCATTGATATTCATTCAGACAGCTGGCAGGGAACATGAGAGGAAGGGAGATGAGGGAGAAGGTGAAGGAGATGGAGAAGGAGAGAGAGAGGAAGAGAGAGAGGAAGAGGAAGAGGAAGAGGGAGAAGAAGAGCAAATATAGGGTATAAAACACATAGGAAGTTCACTAGGCCTCTCAACTCTCTTCACAAATACTACTTCATAAAATCACAAATTAAATATGATTATGGCATTTGAAGGTTTGCATCCCCATTCGAGATTACTCTTACACTATATGAATAAAAAAAGGGCATTCCTGGTATTCACATCATGCATTCATAACTAAAACTTTGAACATTCACTGAAAGTTCAAAGTTTATTCAATCTCACACTAATGCAATAATCTTGAGTTACCAAGTATTACTGTACATCTTGTGTTAGTTATATCGTCAAAGATATAAAATGGCTATCGATAAGAAATAAATATTTAGCATACAAACTTTTACCAGTATGCAAATTTATGAAAATTGGAATTATTTGATAACACACGTTGGACTTTTCATACTTACTAGTACAAGGCTAAGTCATATTTTCTAACTGTCTATCAACTTAAGTGAGGTTTTAAAAATATATATATAATCTATAATAATTCAGAGATCAAAGACAATACCCAGTATGATCTATGGAACTTTAGTTAATTTGTGTTTATTTTGTGCATCTATTCATCAGGAACATCACATTGAAAATTTTAGTTACCTTTTTTTCTGCACTGATGATAAAATACTTTAGATGTCACACTGCTTAACATTATTTTTTGGTGTTATATTCAGTAACACTTCTCACCCTTACTGTAATATTTTTGCATACATTTTACAAAGAAATATTCTTTTATCTCCTCCAAAGTGACTCGTCTCAAGATTCTCCGAGCTTCCTGTTCCCCCTTCCCTTTCACTATTCCCACAAAACTTATCTGAGACCTCTACATCAATTCCATTTCAATTCTTAAATTTTTAGTTCTTGTTTTATTTCCCCAAACTTGTGTTCAACCTTCAGCATACTTCTGACATGGCATGAGTTCTTTCGAGTCCAACATGAGAAAAATAATACATACTATATATCTTACATCTTTATACAGCTATCTAGACCAACATGTTATTAATAAATGCCACTATTAAGTTGTTAACTTTATAAGTCTTTCTTCTACTTCTCACTGCTGTATCTTTTTGATATACAAGAAACCTGAATTATTAAAATATTCCAACCACTTTGATTTGGTATGAATAATAGTTTATAATGTTCATATTAAAACTGGAGTGAATATGGCCTTATATTAAAAAATTCAATCCTTTATAAATACATATGCATGTACATACAGATACACACATTTCCATTAACGAATGTGAGTAGGTGTTGTACATATATGGTTGTTACTCATAAGTGTATGTGTCTGTCTATGTTAATTTTCACATTTTGCATATTTGTATAAATGCGTGTTTTTGTGTGTGTGTACCTGTTCAAGTAAATGTATGTTTCTGTGGATATGCATGTGTACATGTTTGTGTGTGTTTGCGCATGCGGGCATGCATCTGCATGTGCAATTGTATGAACATACAACCACGCACACTCAAGTTATATACACTGATACAAACATTTCTCAAATTAACATATCTGCATTCTGGCTTCTTTAGGAAGCATTGGATCCACTAATACCATGCAGACCACCTAACAGGGAACTTCCACTTAGAAGGCTACTTGGGTGTGATGCGAGACCTGGGATTGAGGAACTACTGGGGATGGTGAGGCCCCCTGGGATGCCATGATTCCCAGGGATAGAAGACCCTCCAGGGAGAGTAATGCTAGGTGGGAGGGTTAAGCCCCCTGGGAGCGTAATACCACCTGGAAGATTAGTGACAGTGCTGTGGTGTCCAATGTTAGAGCTACTAAGGTTCGAAGCACCGGCAGAGTTGCTGCTGCTAGTAGTACTGGAAGAGTGTTTGCTGCTGCTGTGTGATCTGTTTGTACTGCTGCTGCTCTTACTGTCCGCATTGCTTGAAAGATTTAGTCCTTGAGGATGATATGATGGGCTGCCTTCACGTGGTTGTTGCACTACAGTGTATGGGAGGCGTTCGGGATGCTTCCTCTCCATATGGGCATTGTAAGTTTCTTGTCTCACAAACTCTACATTACAAGGGACACATGTGAAAGGCTTATCAACTTT